AATAACACAAAGTATAAAACATTTCATTAGGTCCATTTTAATAAAGTATATAGGTTTACAACTCAAACAATTACTCATAAAAACTATCAGATACATGAGAGAGATCACACTAAAAGTGCAATAACATAAATCCAATAGTTTGCAAATGAGAGGTATCACAAAAACTGTTAAGATTGACTTTTTAAATGTTTTTCTTCCCTTCCTTTCCCTTGTTCACAGCCCTTGAGATTGTGTGCACATTATTGTTCTCTGAGGCGTGATGACCTTAATACTCTGCGGCAGGGTGGACCTCCTCACCCAATCAGCTCCAAGTACAGGCAGCAGAGGGAGTTCACCTCTTCTCCATGGAATGAGCATGGTCCTCGGCCTTTATTTTTTTTATACCTAACAAATGACATTCAGTGTTCCCTCATTCAGTGTAGCATCTTGTTGGCTTTATAGTGTTCTGGTCACTACTGCCCTCTCAATGCCACACCTGAGCCCTCAGGACAAGTCCCACTGAGTTTCACCTTTGTGAAGAAGAGAGACTTGGGAATGAGGCTAAAACAAAGGCTGCCTTCGCCCTTTAGTAAGAACAACTCCAGTTCTAACTGTGAGAGCTTTTGGCAAAGGGAACCAAAATTTACTTATGCCAAATACCAACAGTCACTTCTCAGTATTCTTTGGATGCTTTTATTAGGAGGGTGTGTAACACTATGGGAGAAAGCATAAGGACATGTGTGCACACAACAGACACATAAACACACATACTCTACTCACACTCCTCAAACAGGAATCTTTGGTAGAATCAGAAGATACAACTGACTTGCCTTGAGTGAAAAGGCTGCATTGTCTCTCCTCACCCAAAGTCTGATCCATCCTACTTTAACTGATGTTGGTAAAACTAATTTCTCTAATTCTTTGCCAGAAGGAATCAAATAGATCCCTTTAACAAGTACATGTGGTTCTATTATAATGCAATGCAGATTTCACTGACAGGATTTCAAGAACATTATTATAAACTCAAAACTGTACCACACACACTTAAATTAGAGATGGCTGGGCTCTAGCTCAGAAACTTAGGAAACTGCAAGTTAATGAGAATACTGGACTAAGCCGTGTGTGGTTAACAGTTAGCCATTTTTACCAGCTATTCCAGTCCCCTCACATACAAAGTTGCCCTTGCATTCTAGGGCAGTTTGAGCCTTTGTAAGATCAAAGTGGAGAGCTGCCACTGGGTTGTCTCCAGAGTAAGTCTGGAGTCCCGCCAACCTTCCTTCATCCTTTCTTCTAGACCATAAGAAACGGGAAAGGTCAGCTGTTTCATTCTTATTTGGTGAGATTGTCACAGGCTGGGCTGAAACTTAAGAAATTGTTTACAATAATAAGGGAGGAAAAAAAAAAAAGCTAACATCATCACTCAAGTACTCAACTGTACTCACAGTCCTGTTGCTGGTATGGTCAAAACACAGAATGTCAAGTGAGGAAAAGAAGTGGGAACAGGAACAAAGGCAGTGAGCCAGGAAAAGACTTCTAGGGACAGAACAAAAACAATTCCCAGCCAGATACTACTTTTTATTTTCAAGCATTGTGAAACTCTCCTTTTCCTGTAGTGAGATTTTCAGTAACAAGTTTGCAAGTGCGCTAGTGGTTAAAAAACAAAAACCAACTATGAGGCTTACTTGACAAAGGCAATGATTCCATTTAAAAGTCCATGATTCTATTTAAACTTCAGTGTGTACCCCTTCAGGTAGGATTGGAGGATCAGAACTCTGGGGTGGGTACAGATGCTAATAACATGCTCTTACCTCCTCAGAGGCTGTGGTCTTTTTTCTGTGGCATCCCTAAGTACCTTTTATAAACATAATTTGGACTTCCAATTTCTTAGATAAATCTGCATCTATATGACCAGTAACCATTTCAGAATTGAATGATAATGTGTTCTCTAATTTCAAGTCCAAAGGTACAGCAGAGGATAATGTCTTTATTAGGACTCTAGTGATTCCATTGGAAGTTGTATCCTTAGGTTAATTCTAGGGAGAACTAGATCTCAGTCTTCTCTAACGTCCTACAGTAATTTTCCTATTTTGTTTTGATAAGCCAGAGGGTGTGTATGCTACCAGAGAGAGACACACACACAGACAGAGACAGAAAGAGGGAGAGGTAGAAAGTACTCTCCAGTGGGGTGTGGTCACGTCACAGTCCCTCCTCCACTTCTCCATTCTGTCAGGATCTGGGGCATGTGTGCGTACACGCTCAGTGTGTTTTTCAAGTTGCCAGGTCCAGGACACTAATCATGTGGTTAGCCATGTGGGATCCAGCTTCCTTAACCACTAGGCCACAGAACTGTCCCAGAACTTTCCTCTTTTATGCATTGGCTACATTTCTTATTATATATCTTTTTGTATATATTTAATTTTTGCTATAGAGTGTGTGTTAGCCAGAGTAAGAGAAGGGAGAGTGAGAAAGCACCCCGCAGGAAGGATGGCCATGCTGCAGTCCCTTCTTTTCCACATTCCTCTCAGGATTTCGGACACATGTGCACATGTGTCTAGCATGTTTTTCAAGCTTTTAGATCTGGGACTTGAACCGCTGTCAGTCATATGGGATCTAACTGCCTTAACCATCATGCCACTACCCTGAGCTGGCCCTTGATCACTTTTTTTTATGGAAGCAAATACAGAATTTCTATTGTTAGGCCAGTCTGGCAATTATACTTAGTTTTGCTTTCTTTATGCATTAGTGAAATGTCCACCAAGTGGTTGAAAACATTGATGAACATATATTATAAAACTCACTAAATAAATAATGGGCCAATAAGATACGGGTAATTTTCCTGGACGTTCAGAGAGCTCTTGGTTGCCAGACAAAACTCAGACACAACCTGGGCCTGTAACACATGCACACAGGCCTGTACACAGGAGACTATTAATTCAACAGTGAGGCCCAAATTAAACAGGCTTTGTGACCTACATTCTCTTCGGTCCTGCCCAACATGTGCATCAGCATCAAATCTTCTTCATTTCACTTTCCAATCTGAGGATTCAGAGCTAAAGGGTTCTAAGTAAGCCCAAGAAAGGGTGACTTTACTCATTCAATAGTGCCTCTTAACTTAGTCAATTAATGTGGGTTCTTTAAGAATTCACTAGTGCATTCAGTGGCTCAGTGTTTCATGTCCAAATACATTGTGGCTCATTGCTTTCCACGGAAAGGTCACGAGTTTCTGTATTCCTATCAAATGTATAAGGCAAATAACACATAGCACAAACTCTAATAAGAAAGTGCAGTATTTTGTTGGCTAGTTCTTTTTCTCTTCAATGTTATTCTGTTGTAGCACAGTTGTTGGAAACATGCATTTTCTACTAATTCATAGTACCCTGATTTCCCTTAAAATTTCAGACTCAGGTTGAACCTTGGTGAGACTTCATTTTATCTTCCTTTCTTATTTTTTCCTTCTTTCTTTCTTTTTTAAAATTCCTGGAGAAGATTACTTGAACTTACCAGAGAGAGAGAGAGACTGGGAGAGAGCAAGAGGGTAAGGGAGAAATCAGTCCCTAGAAGTGATGGCCATGCCACAATTCCTTCTCCTCCTTTCTCCTCTTGGGATTCTGGGAGCACATACACACAAGCCTGGTCAGGGATGAAAACTGTGTCATTGGCAATGTGGGATCCAGCTGCCTTTATCACCCTGCCACCTGGCTGGCCCAAATTTCTAATAATTCTTAAATCATTCACTTTGTTTGGTAAACAACTCTCCAGATTTCTCCAGCTAATGGAGCAATCACTACCGTTTACTAGAAATTACAGGAAGCTTTCATTTTGAAAGTTAATGGATCAACTCCTCCCATTAAGTTAAACTTCCTTAGAAATCTTCCCATTGAAATGTAGGTTTTATTTTAAGGTATTAATAATAAAAGGTATGAAAGAAGCTAGGAATGAGTCACATTATTCCAGAAATAAAAGACATTTTCAAAAACAAGTTAGTCACCTGTCTAGCCTACTTTAACATCTAAAAGAAGAGAATAAAAAAGTTTTCCTGGCTAGCTGATTCAGCCTTTTTGGATTCTCCCAAATTTACTTATATGTCTCATGTTTATATTAATTCAAGAGGCTGTAGACAAAGACGTCAAGGATCTGGAAAAATAAAACAAACAAACAAAAAAAAACCCCAAAAAAAACCAAAAGCCAAAAAACAACCACTACCCTAAAAACAACAAAAACAAGCAAACCTGGTTTATTATCTTATGATTCATGAATCCCATGACAGCATCTAGTCTACATACCCAAAGGCTAGAACTGTAACAGGATACTCTTTTCAGCTGTAGTAAGAGGTAAATATATAGGGATTATAAATTTTTCACAACCAGGTAAACTACATATATTAATAGCAAAGAGAAAATTCTGGGGAAAAAAATTCACTCAGGCCAGCCCATAGCTTGGTAGTCAAGGCAGCTGGATCCCTCATGGCCAACTGCATGAGTTTTCTGAGTACTGGATCTGGTGACTTGGAAAAACATACCAGACACAGGTGCATGCATGCCCAAAATCCAGAAGGGAGGGCGAGATGAAGAAGGCACTGTAATGTGACCACATCCCACAGAGGGTGCTTTCTTGTTTTCTGTCTCTGCTTCTCTCCAGCAAGCACATATGCCCTGTAGCAAAAAGACAAAAAGAAACTAAAAAATCACTTTGAAACCTTACTTTTGGAAGGATTTCTCTAGATCTTCCAACAAATTCAATTTTCTCATAAGAAAAAAAAAACAAAACTAAAAACAGGGCTCAAACCCACTGAATTGGCAGACAAATGCTGGTGAAGGAGTGACTTAATTGTGGAGGTAGGCATGGTGAGACAGGGTTTATCTAAAGGAAAAATGCTTTTGCATGCACACACACACACACACACACACACACACGTACACGCATGCGCACACATACCTGTGCACTTGAACTAATTTAAAAAGCGTGGATGTGGGAATGCCCTGCCTACACAATCAGACATGAGCATAGTTATCCCATCTGCATTCGTTTCTACATAGGGAAGGCTCTGACGCACATTACACACCCACAGACACTAATGCATGAGGCTAGCCTGGCTTACACACAGACTCAGAAACAGATCCAGAGAATCCTTTTAGAGCTGCTGGTTCTACAGGAATGATTAGTAGCTGTGTGATTATACTTCCTCTTAATGTCTAGGATTTTTATCTTGCTTTCCTTTCCAGAAACCTCCACCTTTAAAGAGTATCATATCAAGTCCTGGAGGGATTAATTTTGATTCTTCAATGGACATGACTCAGAATAGGGGCTTCAGGAATTGAAACTAGCAAATCAAGTGACCTCCTTTGGATTGAGGTGAAATATTTCTGCACTTAAAGTTTCTGGACAAACATAAGCAGAGTTCTGGGTGGAGGTGGAAGGCCTCAGTGAAAGAGATGGAAATGCCCCAAAGTCTAGAAATCAATATAAACAAATGAGCATAATTTAAAGGGGCTTCAACTAAGTATCACTGCAAGTGAGTTTGTTGACTAAAGCAGTTCTGCTCTGAGGCAGGAAACGGAAAGATGATAATTGGTAACATTTCTTCCTGGGAAGGCTCAGCTGGGAGTGGTATGACGACTACTGCGGGTGGGGTGAAGACGGACACCTAAGGCTCAGGTACTTCTCTTAAGGTTTCTGTTTGCCAGATTTTGAAGGAAATGGAGCTAAAGCAAAAGGATCAGCAGCTGGCAGCTCTGTAGTCCTGGAGGAGAGCGACGTGATGGAAACAGAGCCAGCTATCGACTGCTTGTTGGTTTGTGAGACAATTTTGTAGGCAGCAATGGGCTGGGCTTCAGGACTTGGCTCATCTTCTGGGCTATAGTGACGGGAATATTTGGATAAGGACTGGGGGCGGAATGGTTTGCCAGCCACAGGGCCTGAGACAGCTTCTTTCTGGGGCTGAGGTCCTTTGTTCCTGTCATTAGGATGGCCCCCAGATTCCAGAGACGATACCCTAGGAGAGATGCTCTCAAGATGGTCTGCTGCTTGTACAGAATGGGACGGAAGGTTAGATTGCTGCACAAAACCAGCCATGGAATACTGAGCTCGCACAGAGGCATATACTGCTCTATCAAGGCCAGAGAGCAGAGGAACTTCCCCTGCCTGACTGAGGAGACTGGCCTGTGCGGGCAACTCCTGGGAGGTGCTCTGGACAACTGTCAACTCCTCCATGCTTTTCTTCTTAGTAAAAGGAGCTCTCAAGAACACGTCTGCCTCCTCTGGCTGGGAAGAAGCCACACTGCCCTTGGAGACAAATGGGGCTTTGGAGAAAATGTCCATGTCATTAGTTGGAACCCTTGAGCTCCTGAAGGGGGCTGTGGCGAAAACATCTGGCTCACTGAGACCATCAGGAGTTGGCTGTGTGAGGGGCTGGAACTGGTTCTGTCTTCCAGCTTGTACTGTTTTTGCTTGCTCAGTAGAGACTTCTGGTGGAGCGAAAGGAACAGTTCCTCCCAGCTTCACCTGGGGAGGCTTGCAGCTCTCATCCTCTTCTTCAGATTCCATCAGGAGTGGTCGAGACCCACTGCAGTCTAGCATGTCCCCCTCAAGGTCAGTCCCTTCCTCTTCACTGCTGTGGAATGAGCTATTGCTTGAAGGGCCATCTCTGGCCAAGTAGTCGGATTCTAAGTTGTTCTGAGTCTTTGTGTCAGGTATTCTGGAGGGGTCTGCATACAGGGGAAGGCCTTTAGCAACCGCTGATTCTTTAAAGTGCTCTACAGTTATTACAGGACAGGGGTTGGGCTCTCTCTGGAGACCTGGAAAAGCACAAAATGCAGAATTAATGTGTAGGTCAGTTCAACTCTTTTTGGAACATTTAATGGTCAGCCCGCGGCAGAAACATTGTGGGACCAAATAATAGATGTTGAAATGGAAAAGGAAAAACAGAAAAAAACAAAAGTCAGGCAAGGAAACTGCACACAGACTAGAACACAACCAATCACTGTCTCACATTTGGAACATGATAGGCACAATGTGCAGGAGAGGATATGAAGATGTTAGGCACACGCACATTCCGCGTAACTACGCAACGCTCCTATGCATGGGGCCAGGCACGGACACCTGCTCTACCTGGTGCTGGCTCATAATGGAATGACAACAAACCCAGTCACTCATCCCCACATATACCATGACAGGTTGGGACTGTGTGGAATCACCGTTTGGGATGAACTCAATTCATTATCTGGCATGTGGCCATCTGCTCCACATTGCCCGTATCTGAGGACAGATCCTCCAAGAAGCAGCGGCACATGGCTGCTGAATAAATGCAAGCAAGTTTCCTTGGTGATTAATACGATAAGCACTTCTCAAAGAGCACAAGGGTGCCCCAATTACAAATACTGAAGGCACTTTCTAAGGGGAGAATACAGATCAAAATCATACTAAGTAAATCACCTTCAGCTGGACTTGCCCCAGAATTTTGGTTTTGGTTTATTGAGTTAGCAAAAATCTCCTTTACTTAAATGATTCTATCATAAAATTCTTTAAGCAGAAGGAGCAAAATGCATGGGTAATTACACAAGTATTAACAAACTCCAATACACTAGTCTATTTCTATTCTAGGTAGAGGTGCCTTGGGGTGCTCTGGCTTTTAAAATCAAATAGACAATTATCAGAATGCAAGAGAGCTTACCTTCCAAGAAATATTAGCAGGTTAGAAGTATGTCATTGGGCACATGTTAGCAAGAGGGCAGGAAAAAGGCATATGTAACTAAGCAAGAAGAATCCAGAGAAAGGGTGGTTGGGGGTAAAGGTACTATTTCACCATGGGCTCAACAGAGATACCACTGGAGTTTCCCAACCCACCCAGCTAAGAATATGAGGTGCAATGATTTGGAGCCACTGATGACTCAGAACCTCTGTACACATGGGCCTCAACCATCCCCTTCCCACACTGACCCTCTCCCCTCCTATGGAACCATTGGCTAACAAAACATTCTGCAAAAAGTTATCCCCTGCTAATACTTCTGCTTGAATTAAGCACACACAACACAGCAGAAGGGGCATCAAAATCAGTTTATTGGGAAACCAGTCACTTAGAGACATTACATGGTAAAGATAATGTAGAGAGAGCTCTGAACATTTTATAAGATACTGTACAAAAATACTATGTTTCTCTGAATCCTATATCTTTTTAGCAGTGTTTCTTTTTAAATAGTTCTGAACTTAAATACTGTTTTCAGAAACAAACAAACAAACAAAAAGGTGGGCTTTACTCATTTTTCCCGCTTTCTAACAGTTTGAATGTACTCAGTAAATTCAAAATTAAGTTAAATTTTAAGTTAAATTCTGTACCGATGCCAAATGGTCTTTTGGATGGCATTTGAAGAATATTATTTTGAGAAGAATAAATTCTCCTTGCATTACAACTTTAAGATATGTGCCTACATGATAATACAAAAGCATTAGTTGGCTGACAGGAGATAAATGGAGTACCTTCTCCTTGTGATGTATGTGAAAAGATTATTTTAATTACTCAGGCAAATATACTGATATTAGACATGTCTCTGTGATATACAGAAAGATTTCTGAGGAAATTCAAATGAGGAATTTCATTTGAAATTCAAATGAAAATGAGGCCAAGAAGTTTTCCCCCCCAAAATTTGTTGAGTCTTATAGAGGTAGAAGAGGCCCCTAAGACTCCTTAAACCACTTCCTCAAATAGCATCAGTTGGATAATGTTTTCAATTGCCAGAATTAAGGCACAATCTCTCATCTTCTGAAGCTACACTGAAAGCTGATTCTGTAGGAGAGCAAAATCTCTCTTAGGGAAAACAATGGCAAATTAAGCCAAGCCAATGAATAACTCTGGCATTACAAAGATCAGTAATTGAGATAAACACTAGTTTGAGTTATGCCAGTGGTTTTTGTGTCTTGTTTTGTTTTTAATTTAAATGAAAGTCAAACCAATTTGTATGAAGAGATTGCCAAAAAGCAGCTAACTATTGAACCAGGGAACTTTGGGTGCTTGAGGTGCTGGATAACACTTTCAGAACTGTGAAGTCTCAAGGGATGGTAGGGTAGGGGGTGCCTACATCCAAAATTCAACAGCATGGAAGAAAATGCTAATGCATTGAAACGATTTCTGGGTCAAGAACCCACTTGGAAAACCTCCCAATTCAGAACGTTTTCTATGACTTTTATGGTGAACAATGAGAGAACCATTACATTTCAGCAACTTTAAAAATTCACAGTCATGAAAAACAGTATGACATTAAATTTGAAGGGAAAATTAGTCTCCTGTCTTCAAAACAAGGACTAGAGCTATTTCCCACCTCTTTCAGCATCAATGTGCTTTGTAGAAATAAGGGGGGAAAATGTAAAGGTTATTCCTGAGAAGGCCAAGTATCTTAACTTTCCCATTCTTTTTATAAGAAGTGCAGTGTGACAGAGGCAGACGGCAATCCCCTTGAAGGCCACAGAAATGCTGGAGAGAGTGGAGAAGCCCAGATGCCCACATTCCCTAAGGGAATTCTCCTAAGGGAATGTGAGTGGTAGTAGCACAAGACATAAGGTAGTCAAGAGAAGAAGAGATCCCAAATAATTATACACAGAAGGTAGATATTAAATCTGTTGGCAGGTAAAGGTCTTTTTGGGAGTATGTCAATGTGTTCTTACAGGGAAAACATGTGTAAATAGTCCTTGTGTAAGAAGCTAGCCTTGTACTGACAGGAAAATGTGTTTGAAGCAGTCTACATACTAACAATGTAGGATTTATACCAACTTAACCTCATGCCTTGGCCCAGTTCCTTTGGTAACCAAGGCTAAGCATAGCAGATGCCTTGTGACCACAGAGCTCAAAAAACCTAGCTTGCTGTTTCTCAGGGGCTTAAGCCCAGGGCCTGGTTTCATGGCATGCACAAGGAATTATTTATCACAAAGCCTAAGGTAGGGTATTTTGTTAAACTTCTTTCAAACTGGGTCATGTCTCTTTTCATTCTGGTTTAGCATAACTTAAGTAAGAAGTCAAAACATACTTCTTTCTCTTGCTTTGATGAAGGACCTTGTGCTAGGTTAGGCATACTTTTTGGCACCTCCATTAGGGGTGTCTTCTTACTAGTCCTTCTGAGAATCCACATTATGTAAATTTCAATAAGAATTCATGAGCTTTGGGAAATAGAAAGAAGTTCCCCTGAATATGTGGTGACTTGGTTTCCTTTTGACTTCCAAAACAACCAGAAATGCTGAATGATCTGGAATGGGTTTACCCAGGAAATTTTATCTCATTGACATAGTGAGGGTCATCAGGATGCTCTCTAAAAAAAATTAAAATCTGAAGACAACTTTCAAGCTGGATATTCCTTAATGAAATATATTATGCACAACCAGAATTTGACTTTTCCCCATATTTCGATTAGAATTAAGGGTTACTGGGGGCATCAAAGACATGATTCTTATCAAAACCCAAAAATGATGATTTACAGTATAGAGATGGTTTCTCATATAATTAATGAACAGAAACCAAAATATCCCTTTCACAGGAACTTTGGAAGTGCAGCACCAACTGAAACTTACAGTCTTGGAACAAAATCAAGGAATCAAGAGCTGCACACCACATGAATCATTTCCATGACCTTTTGGCTTAGATAATAAAATTAAACAGTGGGTTCTACCACATGTTGGGTATCTGCATCAGAACCCACAGCTGGGGAGTAAGGGACTTGAAGGGAGCCAACACTGGCCAGTGATGCTGGTCTCTCAAGCCAGGAGGCAATTAGAGGAGGAGATTTCTCATGGGGCATAAAATGATTATGGCCTCTGTAAAATGTTTAATTAAATTGGCCTGGGTAAATGAAAAATTAAATTAGATGAGGGTAGCTGCAACTCTGTGCTTCATTTTATAACCTTGTGCCTGGCCATAGCAAACACAAGCTCATTCACAGGTGTTTGATTCTCCTTGACCATAAGGGGTTTTTTCCTCCAGGGTAGCCATGACTTAGTAACATGTCCTTAGTATGTCTCTCACATGTGCTCATACTTTTCTTTTGCACTGGTACTTTTGTCACTCAATTTGTGTTTAAATCCTTTCTGTAAAAGTGGATTCAGAAAACAGCAGCTATTTGAAGTTATTTACATCTCTAAACATCATGTTCTTATTTGAACAGATAAAAGTCTTTATTCCCCTATATGTTTACATAAGAAAATTTGTTTACAGACCTTTTTATACAATACTTGTGTTCAAATTTCACATTTTTACTGCATAAGATAGCTTTGTGTACATCTGTCTGCTTTGTCTTCTTGAGAAGGACAGCTTAAAGACCTATGGTAAATGTACATCCATGTAACAAAGTGCAATAGGACAGAGTAGAATACTCACAGGAAAAAGAGTAAATTCAGGACACTACACCAAAGTGAGACCCAAGAAAGTGTCTTCCATTCTAGCAACTTCCACCATTTGGTGACTTTATGTAGGTTAGCATTACCCAAGGAGCCTCCCTCCCCCAGCTTAGTGAAAGGAAACCTAGGAGAAACAAAATAGTATCTTGTTATAGATTATTTGAAATGGAGGCCATATGGGATTCATTCTGATTTAAGAAACCCAAGTACATTGGGACCAGCAGTTAGCATAATGGCTATGTCGCTGCTGGACTCCCACATAGTTGACCGTGGTTCGAGTCCCGGACCCAGTGGCTTAAATTCACGCTGGGCGCATGTGCATGCGTGTTCAAGATCCTGAGAGGAGAACGAGGAGAAGAGATTGCGGCTTGGCCATCCCCATCCCCCCTGGGGGGGGTGATTTCTCGCTTTCTGTCTCTTTGTCTCTCTCTGTCTGTCTGGCGAGTCCACGCGCCCTATAGCAAAAATCTCTCCAAAAAAAAAAAAAAAGAAACCCAAGTACATCTAACTTCGGGAACATTACTAGTATGGAAAAGACTAACTTCATGTCAGTAAAATTATAGTCTCTAGAGAAGGACAGAAGATAAGCCTGCAATATCTGGAGTGTTCTCCATTCTAAATATCCATAGGATAGTTGTTCTGTGCTAGGCAGCCTCTAGTTTGCATAATTCAGTACTCTGGGCAATCCTGTCATTTTTATCCCCAAACTTGTAATTAGTGGCTACAGGTCCCTGATGATTTTATAGACTGAGAAGGTTGAGGACTCCTGGAGATCATCAAAAACCCTCATCACAGGAGGCTTTATTTTGGCCCAATAGCATATGTTTGTTCAGCTGAACGCTGATCTCTCCATAACCCTGGGTTATCACCACGAGGTCCCCTAGTTTCCAAAGCACTACTGAAGGCGGAATGGTTTCTGATCTGGGGGAAGGTTATGTTGGTTTGAATGATCACTGATCTAGTAGGAAAGTAAGAAAAAGTATTAAAAACAAAACTAATATCACATCTTGAGGAAAATAGGTTCTTTTCTTGTGTTTTCCTACAACCATTGGCAACCCAAGTTCTATGATTCTAAATCAGGAAGTGCCAAGTCGAACATCACTGAACAAAGTGACTACCTCTCAGAGGTATTTTTAAAGCCCTATCTTTCAGTTTCCTAAATCATATTAATGACTACGGAATCACAGAAATTCTTACACAGAACTGTAAAGAAACTAGGACTAATTGTGCTCACTTCCCACTGTAAAATCCTCTCTAGGAATTTTCTGTGGCTTATTCATCCTTTTTACTATTTTCATTCATAGTAATTACTCTTCATCTCTTGAGGGTGATTTTGCTTCCTGGAATAGCTAATGTTACTCAGAAGCAAGAGTGGTGGAAAAAAATAGATCAACAAAGAAAGTATACTTTCATGTGGAAAGTGGTAATAATTACATAATATGAGTGATTTTTTTAATGCCTTATTAGATTCTGTGATGTTATTTCTAAGGAGAAGAGTTTAAAAAATAACTTGTATGATGGCAACATCATTAGAATAACTACTAACTTCTCAAGTAAAACCAGGTAACTTTGAAGGAAAAACATTCAATTAGATGTCAAAATTTCAACAGATCTACTAAAGAATTCATTAATTATAATAATTATAATTATATTTAGAAGTTCCCATTTAAACCTTATCTTTTCTGAGCTTGTATTTTTAAAAATGTTGGGGCTTGAATGGGATAATCTCATTATTTGAATGTTGTAAAGGGAAAATAAAAAAAAAAACTGTGATGTTTTCTAGTATAGTCATTACTCTTACATAGTTGGAAAAAAATTTAAAAGCATACTGTATTTGCCCATCTTTTAATGGCAAATCCCTGATTATACATTTGAAAAACTGAAATCTTCTGATACTACTTTACTGGAATAGGCAGAAGTGTATTTGTCTACATGTACATCTGTAATATTAAAAAGGAAAACTTATATCCAAAACTCTGCAATGACTTAAGCTTCTATTTGGATGACCAAAAAAGAACAACCCAGGTCAGTAAAAGCCCATTATAATTCTCTAAAATATAAATACTGCCACAATAAAAGCAGGAGCTACAGAAGACAACTCAAGAACATCAGGATTATATAAATCCTTCATAGTCCTTCTAAAAGTAATACTATATATTTAGGACCCTATACTTCTATAATCTTAAAGACCATCTAGTCCAAACCCAACGTTGTATAAATAATGAACAGCAGCTCTGAGAGATGAAGCGCCTGTTGAACATCACTCAGCCAGTGGCTGGGGCAAGGATCAAGATGAAATCCCAGGTGGCCTGTCCTGCCCATGCCTCTTCTTCCACCACCCTGCCTCAATGCAGCTCAGGTCCCACACCTGTAAAATGAAGTGGATGGACTAGTGGATGGTCTCTAAGGTCCCTCTTCCAGCTCAGTCTATAGTCCCAGAGGTCTATTAATCACTAGCACACTATGCTCATCTCAAACTCTTTTACTTCAGGAATGCTACTATAAATTAAAGAAGGCCCTGTTTCCCAAATCGCTCACTATGTATTTCTTAACAGAAAAATAATTTTCCCTTCTAGGCCCAACTCCTAAAGTATATGCGCAAGATAATTTCATGTCATTATCTCCTCAGGCTTCTACCATCATCTCTGGCTTCTAGTCTGCTCGTTTTCATTAACTGTCTCCATTAGCTTTTATTGAGCTAAATGACTAGATAATATATCTCAATGTAATTACTGGTAATGCATGAAAAGAACAATTTAGAGACACTTACCTAGATTTCTAAACTGTACTCTTCATGGTTTCAATTAAATTAAGAAACTAGATATTTCGTTATATTTCTAACAGGTATGTAAGAAAAAAATTCAAATATGAAAACATAGAACTAAAATATTATTGTAATTTAAAAATAAACATTTCCTTAATTAGTTTATACATTCTATGTCCAGGAAAAAGAATACGGTTCTGATCTGCAGCAATTTTCCTGTCCATAAAGGGGTAAACCAAGTCCTATATTCACTGCTACCCAATTATGGAGAGCATTTCACAGAAATCTTTTTTAACCCTTGGAAATGATCTGTTATCTTTTCAGAGGCCTTTACTTAGCTCATCTAGTTTTAGCTGGCATGGAAAGTATTTCAAGTCAGAAGGAAGACTGAAGGATTCAGACTTTTCCTGAGGCCTTTCAAAGGTTGCTTTCACATTGCTGGGGTCAAAGGTTGCCCTCCAGAGTGCAGTGTTTTGCAGGGTGCTGTTGCTGTTACATTTCCCTTTTTAAACCCCTAAAGTGCAAACGTGAGAAAGAAGGAGTGAAAGGACTAGATGGAGAAACAAACAAATGGACTTGGAATTTTACTTGTACACATTTGACCAACGAGGAGTTCCCTTTTGATCACGGACAGTGGCACTGAATAGAGAGAAGAACGAGGGTGTTCTCTGTGCCCTTCTCTTTTCAAAAGGGTGATTTTATAAAAGTGCTTACTATGGAAGGGGAAAAAATGACACCTTAGTGAGTTAGTACATATACAGAGGGTGACCAAGAGGCATGTTGTCATGTCAGTGCAGGGGTCTTTATTTATTTTATGAACAATATCCTAAGGTTAGTGAAGAGCTATGCTTTTTTTTTTTTCTTTTTTTTTTTTTTTTTATTCTAGGAAGCCAAGGAAAACCAAATGAATGTATTCCACTGGCTACAGCCTTCAATTTAAACATCAGAGAGAATTAAAGGTAAGTAGCCACAATCAAATTGTGTCTAGCTTGTCAGCACACATATTTCTGATTATCTGAAAATAAACAACATGCTTACTCTACAGAGACAGAGGACCTGCTGAAAGCTTATAGCAACACACAAGTCTACTCAAATGATGCCTTATGTTACACTGTAGGATTGCTATGTAGTTATACAAGGGAA